CGCGACCAGGCCCGTTCATCCACACGTGGCCTCACCTCGGCCTCGACGAACTCCATGACGAAAACGCAGCGCTCGCTCTCGAGGCGCTACCGGCTCTAGTCTCTTTGCATGAGCCAGAGACCGAGCGCACGTATTGGTCGATGTCAGAGACCGACACCGTGACCTTGGCCGACGTTGTCGCTTCGTGGCCGCTCAAGATGACGTACTTTGACACGCGGTGGTCGCACGCATGGGACGCGCGCTATCCACGGTCCATCGACAGCGACGTCGTTGGCGCTTTGCTGCGTCGCTGCACGCGCCTCCGGTCGGTCACTTTGTCGGCGCGCAAGGATGTGGCCGAGTTGTTGGCGGCCATGACAACGCCAGCCCATCGAGTGGAGAAGCTGTGTCTTGAGTACGAGGGCGACGAGACGCTCGACTGGACGTCGCTGCTGCGGCCTTGGCTCGCGACTGGCCACGCGCGTCATCTCTCGTTCAACAACGCCGGCACCACCGATATCAAGGAGCTCGCAGAAGCGCTCGCGACTGCGTCGTCGCTGACGGGGCTTGCGATCGACGAAAATGACGCGCTCGTTCGCGCTATCGTGGCACTGCAAATGCCGCTGCATCAGCTCCGAGAGGTGCATCTCCGTACGGGGGGGCCAAAGAGCATACATTCGTTCGTGCAACTATGTGATTTGACCAAGCTCACGTCGTTGGCACTGGCATGCAATGGCCATTTTGCCAACGTGATGCCCTTGGTGTCGCGCATGCCAGCGCTTCGCCACCTCTCGCTACGGGAGTGCAGATTGCGTGACGTCGCGACCGGTGCGTCGCACTGGCCGCACCTCGAAAGCATCGAGCTTTTCGACGTCACGTTTGAACGCGATGCATGCAAGGCCATACTGGCGTATCTCGCGCGCGTGCAAGGCCTCCAGAAGATAACGTTGAACTCCTGCCACGATCTGTGCCGGGGCTTTGTCGGCCGCCGCCGCAACTTGCTTCGCTTGATCAACAACGGTCTCACGCTCGCCAACTTTGAGAGTACGTGGATCGACGACTCGGATGCTACCCACCTGGTGCGTGTGCTGCGCCAAATTCGCAATCCGTTGCCACTCACTCTCGACCTCACGGTCGACGACTTTACGATGGTCGGGATTCGCTCGCTAGTGGAGATCCTCGCAACATGCACGGCTGTCTGCATCAAGATCGACATCCCCCCGCAATGCTACGAGGAAGAAGTCGAGCCCTTCTTGGCCACCCATGGCATGGCGAGCGTCTTGGAGAATTGGTGCTCCTATGCGCTGTATAGTCCGCCGATGATATTGACGTAATTGCACTGCATTATAATATATAATATAATGCGTTTTTTATGAATGAACACGGGTCTATGGGGCACACAATAAGATCTTGGCACCCGTCCGCCCTGCTGAATGACAGAACTACGAAGCCTTCGTCAGCTCGTCATCCCCAACAATGTCGTCAACAAGTGATCCCTTTCTGATCTTCTGGGCTGCTATGCCCTACAAGTATCTACGATTTTTGAAGAATGTGCATGGACCGACTCGCAAGTGACTCTTCAAGCTCGGCCTACTAGTATGCCTCGCCCTGCGCCTACGAGTGATACTGCGCTACAAACGATCGTGTTCCGTGGGTTAGGGTCCACATCGAACCCTTCATTTCAAATGAGATGCAATCATCGACCATTCTGCAACAAAACACCGTCTGGTTTTGCCTTGGCTTGCATGTGTGCCCACAAAAACATTCTGGACCGCCACGAGGTAACGGTAGGCAAGATATCGATGATTGTGCTGTCACCGACGTGCCAAAACGGTCTGTGATTCATGCGATTTTTCCCTTTTCCATAATGGTTTCGACATTTCGATGGCGTTGCCTTCCCTGCCAAAGCGCTTCCACGGTCCTTGACCTCCACGGCGCTTTGGTCGCGATCGATCAGTGCTTGCGGTCGCCATGCGACTTTTTATCGAGCTGCCACGCACCTCGTTCGCCGCGCCAGTGGCGGCGACCCTGGAGCTGCAGCAGCGACCTGGCCCGTTTCCGTACATGTGGCCGCGCCTCTTCCTCGACGACTGTTTCTGCGGCGAAGACGATGTGGCGATGCCAGTTTTTGTGTCTGTCAGCGTCCATTAACTCATGTCGTTGAAAAGGCATCTCGCACTACCGCAAGTCGACGCCAGCGATACGTTTCGGCTCACCGATTTTGATTTGCAATGGCCGCTCGCCTTGGCATTTGCGGGTGCATCGGACGACGACGTGCTGCATTGTCGCAACATACATGCGTGTTTTGTTTGGTCTGCATTCTTGAGAAAGCATCTATTGGCTAGCATGGATGGTCCAAGCACTACGCCGCCTGGGAAGCAAAGCCCTCGTTTAGACTATACAGTTGTAATGTTGCAAACAAACACTGGTGCTCAGAAATGAACCACACGTGGAATGTCTGCTCTGGATGTCCAACGCGAAACGCCACGGCACCCAGCCCATGATTGCACCCCACAGCTCTTGCGCCGTCTTCTTCCTGCACCCAGAAAGGAACCCGCAGGCGATGGTATTGAATAAAACGTCTAGCGGTCAGCCAACGGCCCACACCAGATGTTACCGCGACACCGGTACGGTGCAGAAGCAAGTCTTGCCCATGTTTGATTGGTCGACATTCTTTGATTGTCCGAGACTCCAAATGGCTGGCGAGAGCTCGGGCGCGGTCGCCAAACTCCCAGGCGCCCTCACCTCGATCATCCAGTGCTTGCAGTCGGCACGCGACGTTGTCGTCTTTGTCCAGGCGCTGCCACCCGCGTCGCAGGACGCATCGTTGGCGGCAGTCAAGGAGCTGCTGACGCGACCGGGCCCGTTGGCGTACACGTGGCCTGCGCTCCTTCTAGACGACATTGACTGCGACGACGATAGCACCGTGGCACTCTATCATGCGGCGCTTCCAGCTCTCGTGTCTGTCCGCGCCAAGGAACTCGATTTGTTTGGGCGCTTTGTGCGTCCTCGAGGCGACGCCAATACGCCAGCGCAAGGCTTTATCGACTTTGTCTCGCAGTGGCCGCTCAAGATGACGCACGTGGACGGTAGGTGGGTGGAAGAAGTCGGCGGTGCGGCCTTTTGCGCCTTGCTGCGTCGCTGCACGCGCCTAGAGACCGTCGAGTTAAGCGCCGGTGAACACGCCCAAGACATCCTCGCCGCTATCACGACGCCAGCCCACCGCGTGCACACGCTTCTTCTTTCTGGGTCCAGCCCTGCGATGAACTGGACCTCGCTGCTGCAGCCATGGCTGTCGAGTGGCTACGCTCGACACGTGTCGTTCAACAAGGTTCCCACAACCGACTGCAGCGGACTGGCGCACGCACTCGCTACGACGAAGTCCCTTCGAGGTCTCAGTATTGTCACCAACGACGATATACTCTGCGAGCTTCTTGAGTGGAAGCTGCCTCTACACCACATCACGGAGCTGAAGCTGGCAACTCCAAACACCAAGGCCATGCGTCAGCTCATGCAGCTTGTCGACGTTACCAAGCTCACGTCCCTCGCACTGCATTGTCAGTATGAGATCTCGGACGTCCTCGGCCTCATACCGCGCATGACGACCCTGCGCCATCTCTCACTCCAGTGGGTCCACTTTGGGGATACCGACACGTCGCAGTGGCCGGACCTTGAAAGCGTCGCTTTTGGTTGTGTCAAGTTTACTCCTTTGGCTTTCGACGCGATGCTCGTCTACCTCAACAACGTGCCGGGCCTAAAGCAGATAACATTCCACTGCTGCAGCACGGTCAGCGCTCGCTTCGCTGCCCTGACTCGCACGCTCGGACGCTTGGTCAACCGCGGGCTCATGATTGCACGGTTGACAGATCTTTGTCTCGACGGCTACGACGGGACGCTCCTTGCGTTTGCCTTGCGTCAACGGCGCAATACATCGCCCCTGAGACTGGACTTTTGCTACAATGAATTTGGCATCGATGGTGTTCGTGTGCTTCTGGAAGCCCTTGCGGTCTGCACCAATGTAAGCGTCGAGATCGGGCCCACTGAAGACGAGGCGGCGATGACAAATCAAGATGAAATCCGACGCTTTGTGGCAGCCCATCGTATGACATGTGGCCCAAGCGACACAAAGCTCTATGCGCTCTATAGCCCCACAACAGCATTATCTCCTTGATGTACAACATGAACATTTTGGTATACATGTCTACGAAAGTCGTCAGCAGAACTGTCACTATCCACGGTTGACAACCTTACAGTGTAGCTAGCTAGCTATAGAGCTGCTCGTCGACGAAACTTTTCTACCAGTCGTCGATGCCTTGAGCGATCATGGATGCGATCGTAGTCGGCTTGTTTCCTCCAGGGCATCCGATTGACAAAATTTACACCAAACGACATGAACAACCCGTCAAGTTGAACGCCAACGAGACCATGCGACCAGCTCGTCCGTCATACCCTTCTCAATGCGTAGTATCGCCATGGCATTTAAGGGGTAGTCGCCATTTAAGGGGTAGTCGCCGTATGGTTTATAGTCTTAGCCAATCAGCGCCAAATCCATACACAATTTGAGAAAAGACAAAGCTATCGGTCAAATCTATTTTGGCGTTGACCTCCATTTCACGATTCCAATGGCATCGACCAAGCGCGTCAGCTCCAAGACCGGCTCGGTTGTCGACCTTCCGCACGCCCTCACCTCGATCGTCCAATGCTTGCAGTCGGCACGTGACGTTATCGCCTTTCTATCGGCGCTGCCTACGCCTGCGCTCGATGCGCCCTTGGCTGCACTCATGCAACTTCTGACGCGACCGGGTCCATTGCTGTATACGTGGCCTGCGCTCCTTCTAGACGACATCGACTGCGACGACGATAGCACCGTTGCGCTCTATCATACGGCGCTCCCAACTCTCGCGTCTGTCCGCGCCGAAGAACTCAAGTTGTTTCAGCGTTTTATGCGTCCTCGAGCGAACACGCCCGCGCAAGGCTTGATCAACTTTAGCTCGCAGTGGCCGCTCAAGATCACGCACGTGAAAGAGAGGTGGCTGCGCGCGATCGACGTTGCGGCCTATTGCACCGTGCTGCGTCGCTGCACGCGGCTCGAGACGATTGAAGTCGACGCCACAGCAAACACCAGCGACATCCTCGCCGCCATCACGACGTCCGCTCATCGCGTGCACACGCTCTTTGTCTCTGCGTCGGCTTGCGCTCCGACGATGAACTGGGCCTTGCTTCTGCAGCCATGGCTCTCGAGTGGCCACGCTCGACGCGTGTCGTTCAAATATTTTCGGACAACCGACTGCAACGCGCTGGCGCACGCACTGGCCACCACGAAATCGCTTCAAGGCTTTCATATTGGAGACATGGACAAACTACAGAGCGAGCTTCTTCGATGGAACCTGCCCTTACACCACATCACGGAGCTGGACCTGACGATGTCCTACTCCATCATGCAGCTCATAGACGTTACCAAGCTCATATCTCTCACGCTCGATTGCGACGACGAGATCTCGGCGTTGGAGGTCGTTGGCCGCGTACCACGCATGACTGCACTGCGCCATCTCTCGCTATGCCGGGTCCACCTCCGTGAGGTAGACATGGCGCAGTGGCCGCACCTCGAAAGCCTCTCTTTGACGCGGGTCAAGTTGACTCACGCGGTTTTCGACTCGATGTTCGCCTACCTCAACAACGTGCAAGGCCTGCAGCGGTTGACATTCGGTCGCATGTCCAGAGTTTACGTCCCTGCCTGGAGTCGCACGCTCGGCAGCTTGATCAACAGCGGGCTTGTGGCAGTGCGATTGACCGGCTATTTCTTCGACGTCTGCAACGCCGGGCGCCTTGCGTTTGCCTTGCGCCAGAGATGCACCGCGTTGCCACTGAGACTGGACCTATGCTACGATGAATTTTGTTTTGACGCCGTCCGTGTGCTCGTGGAAGCCCTTGTGGTCTGCACCAATGTGAGTGTCCAAATGGAACCCGGCAGCTGTGCGATATTCGATTTATACCACGATGCAGTTCGACCGTTTCTGGAGGACCTCCGAACGACGCGTGGTCCAAACATGGCAGAGATCGCTGTGGTCTATCACCCCGAGGCAAATGCCATGACAACGATCTTTACGTAACGCAATGCAGTCGATCGTCGCGTCACGTCCTCTTTGAATAACACTGTAATAGAGCTGCTCGTGCGTTCTTTCGTGGTCAATGCCTCGAGCGATCATGGTTGCTCTCATACACGAGACCATTCATTGTACTACACCAAACCCTATTCCGTGGCTACCAGCGCGTTCTGTATGCCAGGACTCCTGGCATTGGTCGCCCGTCTTCCTGAAGACCATGGAAACGGTTTTTGTATAGAATAGAGTGCTCGTATTATAGTATTGATATATGCTCGATCACGTTGGTGCGGATTTGTGTCGTCATGTCTTGGCGACTACAAGTACGTAAATGTTCCTAGTACCAGGAAAACAATCATGACTATGAATGCCATGAATGACTCCCCTCCGTTGCAGTACTAATAGTACGAGTGTACAGACACTGGCGCGGCGGGTGGAGACTCGAAGCGAGTCGTCTTATTCGGTGCTGGTCTCCGAACGTCGACTTCAACTCGAGATGACTCGTGTCCAGCCTTTCTTGCCCGTCTGTGATTAGTCCGATTTTCTGACTCGGATTCTATTTTTATTTTGCTGGCAGCCACGATGACGACCACCAAGCGCGCCTGTCCCGAGGCCGCGACCGTGCTGAGCCTTCCGCACATCCTGACCTCGATCGCCCAGTGCCTCCAGTCGCCTGATGCTCTCGCCTTTCTGTCGGCGCTGCCATTGACGTCGCTGGACACAGCACTGGCGGCGACCAAGGAGCTACTGACGCGACCGGGTCGGTTCGTCCACACGTGGCCGCAGGTCGACCTAGACGACATGAATGAAGATGACGCGCCACTGATGCGCGCAGCGCTGCCAGCTATCTTGTCGGTCCGTGCCAGCGATGTCTACTCCTTTGTTCCCTTGTCAGCGACGGCCCCGACCGACTACGAATCCGTGACACCGTTCCTCGAGTTTGCGGCGCAGTATCCGCTCAAGATGACGCACGTGGATGGAATATGGCAGGGCGAGGTCGATACTTCCGCCTTTTGCAGCCTTCTTCGGGATCGCGAACGCGGCCGACCTCCTCGCAGCCGTTTTGACGCCAGCCCACCGTGTGAGCTCGCTTACCATCGGCACGACCTACGACTCAACGGACGGCGATGACTGGACGGCGCTTCTGTTGCCATGGCTGGCCAGCGGGCATGCGCGACACGTCGAGCTCAACAACTCGGGGAAGCTCCCGATACCCGATATTGCGGGGCTGGCGCGGGCGCTGGCGACGACGTCGTCGCTTCAAGGTCTTGATATATTCAACTACGACAACCTGATCGCGGCGCTTGTTGCATTGAAAATGCCACTGCACCAGCTCACAGCACTGAAGGTCGCGACATTTTTACCCTCGTACAAGATGCTTTCGCTGTTGCAGCTGGTGGACCTTGCCAAGCTCACGTCGCTGACGCTGGAGTGTCGAATTGATTACTCAAGTACTCTTGAATGCATGCCGCGCATGCCAGCCTTCGTCATCTCAATTTGGCCCTTGGTCGCCTTGAGTACACGGACACGTCGCATTGGCCGCACCTTGAAAGCCTCTCGTTCCATCAAGTCGAGCTTTCCGCCGAGACCGAGGAAGCTGTGCTCACGTACCTTGGCCGTGTGCAAGGCCTTCAGAAGTTGACGATGGTCGAATGCTCCATGGTCGGCACGTGCTTCTTCGATGTGAGTCGCGCGCTTAGCCGGCTCGTCGCCAACGGTCTGACCTTTGCGAGCTTTCATCACGAGCGCTTTGACGACACGAGCGCTGCTCTAGTTGCACTCGTGCTGCACGAAGGTCGCAACGTGTCGCCCCTGACGTTGCTCCTCTGGGGCAACGGCATCACCATCAAAGGGGTCCGCGTGCTTTTGGAAGCGCTCGCGACTTGCACGTATGTGTGCGTTCAGATTGAGCCCCGCGACTACAGCCTTTTCACGTCGTACAAGAACGAAATCCAAGCATTTGCCGCCGCCCATCGCATGGTCGTCGACGTGGAAACTGAGCCCTACAAGCTGTACAGCCCGTCGACGACCTCGCAATAACGTAGTCGGTGCTAGTCCTCACTATATGGTATCTAATACACTTGAATGGCATCCTATCGTCTACTAGTATCTAGTTATTGATAACTCGCACATGTACTAGCACTCTACTGATAGACACTCACTGAACCACTTTGTTGTGGGGACCTTACGTAACCCTATTCGTCACGCAGCATGATCCACGATGCTTGTAGAGGTGTGGACTTATGTTACGATGACACGTACGAATACAAGGCCAGGGTTGAGGTAGTATGCAATCTACTATCTTTGAGAAAATGCACCAAAATGGGCTCTCCGTGCCTCTATGTACTAGCTGCTGGACTCATCGCATGCGATACATCGCGTAGATACGGCCTCGCCTCTTGCGAGCAACGATGAGGCTGTTGACACCGGAGCTCTCAGTGTCCCAGGACCTATGCCGCGTGCGCAGATTCTTGTCCGATCGAAAACTACGCGGTACTACCACGTTTTCTAGCCGGCAAGTCGTTTATGGTCGTCGCAACCCCCGCACCTTAATCTTAATCCACATTCTTTCCACCGACACATTAAAACAATCGAGCAGACACGTTCAACACGCCACTCGTCTACTATTCATGCGTCAAGCGATCGTACGCTTGTTTGAGCTGCTCCCAAAACAAAAACGTAAACACCGTGTGGGGTCCGAGCCGGAGGTACTGGACGGTCCAGCCCTTGAACGCGCCCTTGATGCCTTCTTTGGCCAGCGTCTTTTGTGCGCAGTCGATCGGTCCGTCGTACAGAAGGCCTTTCCCCGTCGCGTCGAGCGGCTGGTTGTAGAGGCGCACGGACACCACATCGAACGGGTTCATCGCGGTCACGCAGAAGAAGCCCGTCAAGATGGACGCCGACAAATGCAGCGCGACGGTTTGGTCGTGGAAGACGTACGTCGACGGGATCGGCTGCGACAGCAGCATGCCCTTAAAGTACTCGTAGCACGTGAGCTGCGTCGCCGAGCCAAAGCTCACCCGCGGCACGGCGCCGCCAATGCCGCGGAAGAAGCCCTTGAGGCCGTCGGTGGCCAGCACCGCCTTGAAGCCCTCGAGGGCCGACGCGTACTGGTGACGGCCGCGCGTCACCGCACCC